AAAAAAAAAAAAAAAAAAAAGAAATAGAAAACTAGCCAATAGAATAAAAAAAAACTCCAGCACTAAATATTCATACAACTCACAGACTGACATACCTTAAGTCAGATGGGTTGTAACTATGTCGGATAGGTTAAAACACGGTTTTTTTTTAAAATATTTTTTTTTTAACGTTGGCAAGTTCAAAAAAAAAAAATTTTTCAATTGATGTTTGCTGATCAGTTTAGTATTACGCAAAAGGACCAATGAGGCAATAAAGCAATTTTATCCTGTGAATCAAATCCGCCCATATGAGAGAATAATAAAATAAATTTGGCAAATTTATTATTTATGAATTTTATAAATACAGTACAGTTCACCCTCTCTATAGCGAATTTTTATATAGTGAATAACTTGCTATAATGAAGAAAAGTTCAGGTACAGGTTTTTTTTTTACATATAATAAAATAATTAAATGACCCTCAGTATACTGAGTATAGTAAATTCTCACTATAACAAATTTTAATCTCCAGCCCATCATGAGATTCGCTATAGTGAGGGTAAACTGTATACTGAATTCATATTTCTTTTTAAATTTTTTAATCGGTAAATAATTATCTGTCATTAATTTTTTTTTAGGTGGAATACCATCTTTGAAAAATTGATGATTTAAATATCATTAAAATCATGGTTGCTGCTAGTGAATTAAACTTCAGGAGTTGGTTATCTATACACAATCTTTTTTGATTAATTACAAAAGGAACAAAATTTTATTTTGATATACCAAACAAGTTTTGAAAATGATTTTCTCTTTATACTTCAAAAGTATTGCACTGATTTAATTTCCAAAAACCCAGATAAGATATTCAAATCATTAGATTTCTCTTCAATTCCAGAAAAAATTTTGATCTCGCTTATTCAAAGAGATAATCTTTAAGTGAATGAAATTAAAGTATGGGAGAATACTCTTAAATGGGGACTTGCCCGAAATCCTGAGCTTTCTTTGGATCCCTCTCATTATTCAAAAGATGATTTTAATTCTTTAAAAAATACCTTACAACAATGAACTCCTTTTGTACGATTTTATAATTTAACTTCTAAATAATTTTTGGATAGTTTTCTAGGACCCAGAAATATATATATAGGGGTCAGGTGATGAAAAAAATTTTTTACTATGAGCTGTACGCATTTTTTCAGGGCCAGAATTATGATAATGTCAGTCAGATACTATAAGAGGAAATAAAATTCTGACCGGCATTATCAGAAATTATCTAAAAAAGGAAAGATTTTCATGATTTTTTTAGTTCAAAATACGCAAACTCAAACCTGACCCTTTTATATATATTTCTGGGTCCTAGTTTTCTACCCTATAGGAAGCGAATTCCTTTTAAATTTACATCCTGATGGCAGGCTAAATCATAAATCAATGCCCCGTATGGCTAAAAAAAACTCGTTGTTCGGTCACTTCCCCTATTCCCGTCTCCTTCTACGCCATGTTATCCAGGACCTTCAACTTCTAATGTCAATTCTCAAAAATAAAATATAAATAAAGCTAAAGATGTAATGGTGCCTGCTAAAAATAAAGTGGTAAAAAAATAGTTAATTTAAAGTTATGCTATAAGTCGAGACAAGATAGAAGATCAGACTTTGAATCGAAAATGTTCTTTCTTGATAAGTTTGTGATTTGTTCTACACGAAAGAATAAAAAATACGGAAAAAAGCGTTTTCTCTAGAAATGGTAGTAAATGCTTATGCTTTAATTCTATGTAACATCAAATTTCTGTATATAATACTTAGTTCCTTTACGACATTTTTTAATCACTCTTAGTATTAATCCTAATATAAATAAATGATAAAAAGATTCACTTTAAATTTATGGCAACAAATATTGTGATATTACTCGATATTACTATTAACCATTAAAAATTATTATATAATTTTATCAATTGATAATAAAGAGAAATTTTGGTACAAATTAGTTATTAAATAAATATATTACCTGCCATGAAACTTTTCAAATGATTTAAGGAATTTTTAATATCCTATGATTATCTTATCATGTAAGGAAACTTTAATAGTTCCTCTTCTATAAAATAAATCACTTTAGAATTTTCTACTATTTTAACAAAACAGCATCATTAGTTATAGCACGTGATAAAACTGCATATTCTGTCTCATCGACAACTTTGATTGTTATGTACGTTGCATTGTATACAAAATTACAAATCTTTGCTCATGGACCAGAGACCCTATGGTCAAGGGCCAGGGACGTGATCATGATTTATTTATTTATTGATGTTTAATAGTTCTAATCTCAATCCTAGCATGGTTAAAAATTCTAAATAAATAGCCAATAGAAATTATGATCTTTTTTTTATAAACACAGATCATAATTACTATTGGCTAATTTATATATTTATTTATGGATTTTAGGCATTATTTTTTACAGGATTTCCCGAGCAAATGGTAACAAGTGATCGGCGCACATTTACTATTAGTAGCTTTACGCATCTTAATTCTGGTCGGAGATGCATAATGCCACTCTGGTCGGCATTATCTAAAAAAAGAAAAGATATTCTCATTAAAAAAATGCGATTTAATGTACTACAAAAAAAAAAGGAAAACCTTTTTTCCGATTTTCACACCAAAATTGAGTAACATAAAATTTACATATAAGGCAAGTTTTCTTTTTATAAATATATTGAATTTATATTTCTATATATTTTTATTAATCTTATTTTTTTTTTAGGTATATTTATGGCGGAGAACCATCTTTGAAAAATTATGATAATTTAGATATTATTAAAATCATAGTTGCTGCTAGTGAATTGAACCTTCAGGAGTTGGTTATCTATACACAATCTTTTTTGATTAATTACAAAACAAGCTGGATAGAACAAAATTTTAGTTTGGTATATCAAACGAGTTTTGAAAATGATTCACTCTTAGAACTTCAAGAATATTGCACTAATTTAATTTCCAAAAACCCAGATAAGATATTCAAATCAATAGATTTCTCTTCAATTCCAGAAAAAATTTTAATATCACTTATTAAAAGCGATAATCTTCAAATGGACGAAATTAAAGTATGGGAGAATGTTCTTAAATGGGGACTTGCACAAAATCTTGAGCTTTCTTCAGATCCTTCTAATTATTCAAAAGAAGATTTTAATTCTTTAAAAAATACCTTACAACAATGCATTCCTTTTGTACGATTCCATAATTTAACTTCTAAAGAATTTTCGAACAAGATTCTACCTTATAAGGAAGTTTTACCAGAGGAATTATTTGTTGATTTATTAAAAAGCTTTTTAGATTTGCATCCTGATAGTAAGATCAATCATAAATCAAAGCCCCGTATACCTAAAGAATTGTTACCGACTTCTGCTGCGACTATTGATGACGAAAGAAAGGTATAATAATATTTCATTAAAATTATATTTTTTGAACTTGCTTTAAAGATTTAAAGGAGGTATTAATTAAATTTATTGAATTATTTTATTTTACAGCCTATATCACGACATAATGAAACTTCTAGTTTATGGAATCATGCACCTCCTAAGAGTTCACGGGATAATGCACTTCCTAAGGGTCCACGTGAGGCGCTAATTTCAAGCAAGAATAAAGCCAATTATGCACCTCCCAAGGGTTCATGGAGTAATAAACCGGGTAATGAGCCTACTAGTTCATGGAATAATATACCTCCTAAGAAGATACTAATCTTAAGCAAGCAGAATAAAGCCAATTATGCACATACCAAGGGATCATGGAGTAATAAACCACCTATTAGTTCATGGGATAATGAACCTACTACGGAATGGGATAATGAACCTACTACGGAATGGGATAATGAACCTTCTACGGAATGGGATAATGAACCTCCTAGTTCATGGAATAATATATCATGGGAGACACTAATCTCAAGCAAGCGGAATAAAGCCAATTATGCACCTCCCAAGGGTTCATGGAGTAATAAACCGGGTAATGAACCTATTAGTTCATGGGATAAGGAACCTACTATTTCATGGGATAAGGAACCTTCCACTTCATGGGATAAGGAACCTTCTACTTCATGGGATAAGGAACCTTCTACTTCATGGGATAAGGAACCTTCTACTTCATGGGATAAGGAACCTTCTACTTCATGGGACAAGGAACCTACTAGTTCATGGGATAATGAACCTACTCGATCATGGGGTAATGAACCTACTAGTTCGTGGGGCCTATGGGGTAATGCACCTACGAGTCCGTGGGCAGTTTCGAAGCGCAATAAGAAATATAAAATAAAAGCAATTCCTAAGAAATAATGAAGAAATTAGAGTAATTATTTGAATTATTTTACTACTTTAATTATAGCAGTTTGAGTTTCAAGTATATTGTTTTGAACCTAACTAAAATAAATAATTGTATCAATTCACCAATTACTATTTATTCAAACAATAAAAATATAAATTAAACAATTTGAAGAATTAAATGTTAGTGCTGCACAGTATTTATTTTATGATAAAACACTCGGTTAAAAAGCATGTTTACAAGTAAACTGTGTGAACTGCTAATTCATTTATGTTGTGATCCTGTTTGAGCATAACTGTAAATTTTGTATCTTATCAATATACTGTATCTATACAAAAACCAATTTTATTTGATATTTCAGTGATTAATTTAAAAAATATATTAACAGGTTTCAATATAATAAATAAAATATCCATAATTTTTCATATAAACTATAATAGTATAATTTGTATAGATTCTTAATTGAATAAAGTATAATTAATCATTGGTCGAGTAGATGATAATGTTTTGGTTCGATTAAAATCGAATTAGTGTACCATGATTATATATTCTAAAAATACGACTTAAAAAGTATATTTACTATATTTATTTATTCGTTGCTACGTTTATTTTTATTCAAAATTATCAGTTATTCTCATAAGTTCATGCAGATTTTACATAATTGTTATTTAGGTCGGTTATCTCATATTTCTATGTATTAGCATAATAATATAAAAATTGCATGAGTGGTCCCGTCAAACCGTCAAACCGATAATATATAATTATTGTATATTTAAACAGGTACTGCATATTTGCTATACGTGTTAATGATAGTATAGAATTTGTCTCTTTAATTGTAAGTTAAAATTTCACATCATTGGATTGGTCCAGTTCAATCTGGTTTCGGTCTGGGAAGTCAGCATTATTTCTTGGACTAAACCAAATCTATATGGTCATATAGTGTATAATCCCACCTCGACAAATTTAATAAAGTTTTAATTAATTTGACTAATAGTTAAATGCAGCACGTCTATTATTATATTAATACAAATAATTATATTATAGATATTTATGAATATTATTAAAGAATAGTATGCAATATAAACTCGAGTAAATTAATTGAACCTATTTTGAATAACTTTATTGTAAAACTTGATTTTTTTTAAATTTGTTAACGTTATAAGATAAAGTTTATTTGTTGTAGCATAGTTAATAAATTTTTATTTAAAATCAATTTCTAAACACGATGTGGTCTGCTTATTATAAGGTTGACTATAAGTTCAACTATTACAAACTGAGTAATCTTCAAATGTAACTCTAAGCATACTTCTAAGCATTTTTTAAATATGAATTTCCTAACTTTCATTTATATTTGTTTGATTATTACATGCATAAGATACCAATAATAAAGAATTGGCTATAGGATTAAGAATAAATTAGAAATACTAATCTAAATGGAAACTTTTTTTAAAGAGAAGTTAAAATAGTCATGATTTCGGTAGAAGTTTATATAGAGTTTCTCAGGTAAAGTTCAAAAAGTAACTCTTAATTTCTAAGTAATCGAGATTGATCCCAAATTTGAATTTAGAAAATAAGCGAGACCAGAATTAAGGGGAGTTTGTAATATAATGTCTTGCAGACGATAAATCTGTACAATATATTATAGTTTTAAGAAAGAAATGTTCACAAAACTAGTTTGAAATTTATTCTATTCAATCAAATAGTTCATTTAATATTATCTTGTAATCACCTTTGCTTTTTTTGCATACTCTAAATATTTAAACTCCTTTGCGATGGAATATTTATTACAATATAAAATATCTTTATAATAGTGGAATGATAATAGATATTTTGAATAATAATATAAGTAATTGATACATGGAATTTATTATACTTATTAATTAATAATAAATATGATTCAAAAGATTTGTTCTTATCAATGATATGTACTATATTTAGTGTAATTTTTTATATTTAAAAAATCTTTTAAGAAAGTTTCGTCATCTTTTGTAATGTTTGACGTCAGAAAAAATAATTGTATTCAAAGAAAGTTCTGCTACAGTTACACTTGTTTGTCATACGATGGATCATCACTGCGTACACTGCGCCTAATAATTAGTTTATAGAACTTGAGCCAAATTAACTTCGTATAATATGATTCGTGACCCCTACATTATATTTATAATTTAAAATCGATATCTCAAAATTTGTTTTCCGGGGAAGTTTTTCAATATATCAATCAATTAAAGTTTAATTCTTGTAGAAATATTGATTATTTTATGTGATAATTACTTAATTTATAAGTTAACTTAGTAAGTAGATTTTATAATTTATTAATTGTTAGTGAATTAATATTAAAAAAAAGCTTTCGTGTAATATTTTTTTGTGCACTTTACGATATTTATTTAAATTTAAATTTAATTTTTAATATTTCTGGTTTTAAAAACTTATCGGATGTTTATAATTTACTAATTCAAATGAACATTTATGTAATGATGTAATTTAGATGGAATAGTAGTATATTAAAACTATGGAATAACAACTTGAACAAACTAAACTTAACCATTCTAAACTATAACCAAAAAAGAAATTATACATTCTGAATCTAATCTTACAATTAAAGCCACTTGCTAATATTCCAAGCATACAAAAATCGAATCAGCTGTAAAAGTGTTAAAGGAAAAGCAAGAATAAAAAAAACATGAAGAAAATATTTAAGATATGAAGAAACTTCAAGTTACAGTTGTCCCCATTCTTGTAGCAACTGCTATCGCGATTCTTATTTTAATTTATGTAACTTCAGTTTGAAATGATAAAATACAATGATCTACATTATTTGGAACTTTAGATTTTTTTTTAAATTTTTATTTTGAAGCATACTAGTGATAGATAGTTATTGATACAATTAAATGTAATAAATAGCACACGTTAATATTTTAGCTTTAAGTGAATTACTTAATAAAATTTTATTAATAAAAATGTATACATTGCTAATAAAATATAAAGTTATATGAAATTAAAGACAATAAAATATTCCATCTTGAGATGGGTGATAACCAAGTATTTACGGTTGTTATTATTTTAATACTTCATTCTTGCTCTTCTAATAAAATATCTAGGTTATCTTTGGATTCTTGACATCCATTTTCTGCAGCCTTATTATACCAATAAATAGCCAATTCAATATTTTTTTCAGTTCCTTCACCTCGCCCATATAAAGATGCAAGACTTTTTTGTGCTTCAACATTTCCTCCTTCTGCAGCTATTTTATATAATTCACATACTTTCTCCTTACTAATATCAAATTGAATTCCATTATTACTATAAAGATGTCCAAGTTTATAATAAGCGTCTGCAAATCCTTGATCAGCTGATTTTTTATAAAATTCAATTGCTCGCATTGTATTTTTACAAATACCTTTTCCTAATTCATGATATTCCCCTAATTTATACAATGCAAGTTTATTGTCATTTTCTGCAGATTTATGATACCAATAATTAACTTTACCCAAATCATCATCTATTTCATCCTCATTTTTACATAAAATATTTTCAACATTACTACTTTTACCAGTTGCCTCATTATATAATTCAAAACCTTTTTCTTTATTAATTTCAGTTCCAATTCCATTTACATAGTAATATCCAAGTATAAATTTTGCTTCTAAATATCCACTTTTAGCCGATTTTTCATAATATTCAAATGCTTTAACTTCATTCCTATTTATACCAACACCTAATTCATAATATTCTCCTAAATTATATTGTGCTACTACATGTCCTTTTTCGGCTGCTATTTTAGATATCTCAAATGCTTTTGTTCTATTAACTTCAGTTCCAAATCCTTGGTCATAACAATATCCAAGTTGAACTTGAGCGTCTAAATAACCTTGATCAGATGATTTTTTAAAATATTCAAAAGCTTTAGTTTCATCTTTTTCAACTCCACATCCATATATATAGCATTCCGCAAGATTGTATTGTGCAAATTTGTTTCCATTATTTGCTGCTTTATTATACCAATAAAAGGCTTGTTTATAATCTTTTTTCGTACCTTTACCATACACAAATAATGATCCTAAATTATTCTGTGCAATATCATGCTCTTTTTCTGCTGCTATTTTATACATCTCAAATGCTTTTGTTTTATTAACTTCAGTTCCAATTCCTTGGTCATAACAATTTCCAAGTTGAAATTGTGCATCTTTATATTCTTGTTCAGCTGATTTTTTATATAATTTAAAAGCTTTAATTTCATCTTTTTCTACTCCTTTTTCATTTTCATAACATTTACCCAAATTATATTGTGCAAATTTATTTCCATTTTCTGCTGCTTTTTTATACCAATAAATGGATTCTTCTAAATCTTTTTTTACTCCAATTTCATTTTGATAATAATTACCTAATATATTTTGTGCTTGTGAATATTCTTTAGCAGATTTAAAATACCATTCAAAAGCTTTCTGATCATCTTTGTTAATTCCTATTCCATTTTGGTAACAAATACCTAAATTATATTGTGCATATATATCTCCTTCATCAGCAGCTTTTAAATACCATTCAAACGCTTTTTTTTCATCTTTTTTTATTCCAATTCCATTTTGATAACAATAACCTAAATTATTCTGTGCACTTAAATTTCCTTCTTCTGCTAATTTCAGATAAAATTCAAATGCTTTAAATTCATCTTTCTTTCTTTCTATTCCATATTGATAATAATAACCAAGATCATCTAACTCTTTCTTATTAATGTTACGTTCAATGGAATTTTTATCTAATAAATCAAAATATTTTTCCATATTATTCAACTCATCTTTACACAAATTTATTTCTAATCCATTAAAATTTTCAAACTGGTAATAAGACATCGTATTCATATTTTCTAAATGTTTAAACTCCTTTGCAATTGAATATTTATTATATAAAATATCTTTATAATAAGATAATGATAATAAATGTTTTGAAATAATGATATTAAGTAATTGATACATGGAAGTTAAATTATTATTTTCATTTTTTTCATATTTATTAATTGATAATAAATATAAGTTAAAAGATTCATTTTTATCAATTGTAATAGTATTTACTATATCACTCTCATAAAAAAATCCTATCAAACATGAGAACCAATTTTCATTTTCTTTATGATCTTTCATTAATTTTAAAATTATTTCAGGATTTTTTCC